CATCGCATGCACGTTGGACATATTACCACTAGCGGGGCAGTGAGCAAGAGGAAGAACCTGGACAAGCTCAGCTGGCACAGTGTCTACAACAAGGGGCTCAAACATCAGAGCACTTGCTAAGGGTGGTGCAGAACCGAGCGGGGTTTGTTCTGTTGACACAGTGTCACTATGAGTTGGAATCAACTCGATGGCACCGAATAACAACAGGCATTGGGAAGAGACCTACACAGCGAAAGAGTACCAATATTTCCAGTGGGGATAGGAAACAGCGGAAGATACAATAATATTTAACTTAACAATAAAATCTCAGTAAATACTGTAATTGTTTATAATCACTTACATAACATCGTGCCTATATGTCATGATGCAAATATATCAGACATTACAGTAACATCTAAAGTATATACGAGATCTAATTGTGACAAATTATTTTCACCTTTCTAATGCATTGAAATTCCAGGATGTGAAATACTAACCCAAAGATTTGAGTACAATGTTAACAACAGCTTTAATAACATTGAAGGGCTTTGAGAAAATACAATGAAGATAAGTGATGCTACTTATAAATCAGGAGATCTGGTAGTGCAGTGGGTTAAGCAATAGGCTGCTAACCACAGGTCAGTAGTTCTAGTTCACCAACTGCTCCAAGGACAAAAGATGAGGCTGTCAGTTGCAGTAGAGATTTATAGTTTGGAAACCCAACAGAACAGTTCTACTGTATCTTATAGGATCACTATAAATTGGAATTGACAGCAGTCTGCTAACCTAGAGGTTGGGGCTTCAAATCCACTCAACGACGCCATGAAGAAACAGTCTGGAGATCCTTTTCTGTAAACATATCAGCAAAAAAAGCCCCGAAGCAATTCCTGCTTTGTGACAGATGGGGGTCACACGAGTTGGTACTGACTTGATGGCAACAGGCTTGTTTGGTGTGGGGACATAAGCAGTGATGACTTAAATTGTTCTGTTTATAAGCAGACTTCAACAACAGGCAAACTAGTTCAGATGTGCAGTTCTGCGATTGTATTTGACATGCACAAAGCCTCGAGGAGAGAGTTTTAACATGTTTTCACAGAAAAGCGCATTGAAAACATTTGACATGCTTACAATGATGAACAAATCTTATGCTCAGAGTCTCTATCAAAGAAAATAATATCTTGGCGCCTTCTAAACATGAAATACATAGGCATTCATTCTTAAATGCACATTATTTGGGGCTGACGTGAAAAGGAGCTCAATGACGTCTCCCTGTCCTCACTGTCACTCTCCAGGTGTTGCTCCTCACCCCTCGTTCCCCAATCATGGCATCAGGCTCCGAAGGTGTTCCCCAACCCGAGTTTTTGTTTCGTTTTACAACTGCTATCCCTTTAGCGTATTACAAATAGGAGAAGTTTCTCACAACACTGTTTTCATACTGCTTTTGTCTTGGATAAAAACCACCAGTGATTTTGTAGTATCCGTCATCCTGAGCCCAAATTCCTTGGATGTTTTTTCAAATCCTTGAGTCAACGTTGGCAACTTAATATCTCCAAGCAGATGTTCTAATGTGCTCCCACACACCTCTTCTTTTCAACCCCTATTTCAAGCCCTGAACTGTAGGCCCCCATTTCCACGAGGTTGTATGTACAACGCAAACCAGTTCACAGTAATTTTTTTCAACTTGCAAGTCCTACCGGGATCCTGCTCAGTATAAATAAGCTTAGCATTTATCTTTGCCTCCAATTGCTTCTTACCCATGTCTTCTCAGAATTCATACACTCATGAAGGGCGATGGCCAGGTCCTATGATTCCTCTTAGCCTTAGCAAACATTTAGATAACAGCAAGCACTCCAAATGGACACAGTGACCAGTGGCATCTAGTTAGACAACTGCTCCAAATAAGGACCGAGGAAACTGTTCTTTCTCAAAGTAATTAGTAGACAGAAGAGATCTCCTGCTTTTCCCACTTCATTAGATTTCTATTGTAACTTTATAGTACCTCAAACTCCAGTCAGGGGTGCATGTTTTAAAACAGGATCCCTTCAATACATTTTATCTCGAAATTTGCTTTCTACAAGACAACACGGATTTTGAAGAAATGAATTTAATATAAATGTGGAGGTCAGACTCAACAGCATTAGCTAGACTTGTTCTATTTGTGGCTACTTACATGTGAACTGAGTAAATTAAAATTGTAGTGCTTCAGTTATTATACTAGACATACTGAAAGTGCTCAATACACAGTGGCTACTGCTATCAGGGGAGCCCTGGTGGTGTAGGGAATGGTTACACATTGGGTGGCATGCTGCCAGGTCAGCAGTTCCAAACCACCAGCCAGCTGTTCCTCCAGAGAAAGACAGGGCTTGCTACTCCCACAGAGAGCTAACTCTCAGACACCCACAGGGGCAGTTCTACTCTGTCCTATGGGGTCACTATGGGGCAGCGAGTTTGAGCACTGTCCTCAGACAGCCCACATTGGATGATAGCTCCATCAGGACAGAACATTCAACCAGCTGCTGCTGGACTGTTTGAATTCTCACCAGCAAGTAGTATCGGACCAGTGCTATAAGCAGGCAAGTCAGACACCCACCTACAAAGGGTGGGTGGAGCAGTAACGTGATCACCATCCTGTGAACAGCACCTGCTAGATTCCCTTTGCCAACGATGTGTCTTCGAGTGTCACTATTTTCGCTTGGGCCGAAAAAGTGTTTTGTCTTCCTTATGCCCGCATAAGCTATTACAAGTTCCCAGAGAAATACCCTGCAGAGGCAAAAAACGCGTCTCCAAAGTGTGTTTTTGACCTTGATCTCAGTGGAAAGTGGCCGAAGAAGAAATGTGGGTAAGTCGATGCTGCTGACAGGAATGTGAACTGAGCTGGGAGCCTTCAGCTCTCCGTCTTGACATCGACCTCAAGGGACTGGCAGCACGAGACCTCCGCAAGGACCCACGGAGGGCTGACTTTCGTCAGCAGTTTAAAGAGGTACTTTTCTGGGCGGGTGCCAAGGTGTTTGGACATCCCCTTCATGCGATGATAAGGTGGTGTAAATTGGCATCATGCTCCACGTCATGCAGGCTTTAGGGTGTCCAAAGAGGAAGCTCGAAGTGCTTCGGCTGTGGAACTAAGTGGGAGCATGTGTGGCAGAAACGATCCGTCTACGTAACTAAATCAGCCTGGCGGGATGGGTTGGAGAGGAAGTATGCCCCGTTGGGTCCCTCTTCTACAGTAGTAAAGTGGGGTACACACAGAATAGTTATGTCTCTGAGTGACAGAGTTGTTTGAAGTCCGAAGGAGGCCTGACTCCAAAATGGACCAGAACCTGTTCTGGTCTGCTGTCCCGTTATTTCTGCGCGTCACAAAAGCGACTTGCTATGTGCAAGCACTCTGGGAGCATCTTGCGTCCTCAAGCCCTGATTGGAAGGACGTCAGACTTACGGAGGACTCACTCTTAATGTTTAGTGTCCCTTTCTCTCATTGCCTTTACAGAAATTTGGGGTAAGCTGTGAGCGCACCAAAACAAAATTATTCAAAATCACACTGTTGACACATTTATGAAAAAATGCAACAGGAACCCCTGTGGCACATGATTAACCACCCAGCTGCTCCGTGGAAGATCAGTGATTCCAATACACCAGTGGCTCCGTGGAAGGCAGACTTGGCTGTCTGATCGTATAAAGCTGACAAATTATGGGGGCAGTTCTACGCTGTCCGATTCAGTGCCACAATTAGCTGGAATTGACGTGATGGCACACAATGACACACTAAAACCCTTAGGAAGTCACAGATAACACACTTGGGGCAAATCTAGAAACGTACGCCAGTGGGAAATAAGAAAGGTTCTTCTACTGCTGCAAGCTGCCTAGACAGCTGCCCCGACTGATGAGAATCTGCATTGGCTCAGGGTCTTTGTCCTTCAAAGAAACGAGAGGTTTCTTTCCATTTTCAGCCCCCCTCCTGCCTCGTATGTTTTTGATTCACCTTCTTCTGAAATCACTCAAGTTAGACAGACACCTCCATATGATTTCAAGAAGCGTTCATATGAAATGCTTTAAAACAAATTTCTAGCAGAAATAACACGAGCATGTTAAATTAATCAAGTCAAGCATTGTGCACATGAACCACTGTTCAGTAACTTACAAAACTGAGAGCATAGTTAGACAGGTTAGTACGTGACTGGAAAAGGACTTAGTTGAAAGTCAATCTTAACCTGAGAGGAGGGTTTATTACCTAGCAAAAGGCTCTGCCATTGGCCAGGTGCAGCTCCCGCCCCCCAAGATACTCCCCCCCCCACCCACACACACAGACACACACTGGTTAAGATATAGAAATATTTGATGATATAAAATCAGACAGTTTTAACAAAAGGCCAGTAAATGGAGTACTTATTAAAATATAGAACAACTGGATTCAGAGGAGAGGATCTAGAATTCGAATTTTTACTAGTTTCCTGGTGCAACACATTACTGCTAAATCTTAGAGTATTAAAGATTCAGCATGACAACGGGTCCCACACGTGCAAACACTTTAATGGAGATAAATTTTGATCAGCCCAACTATAAATAATTACATATCAATCAATAATAATTCTCCGATCCAAAACAAAAACGAGGACTGATTTCTTATATAAAAATATGCAACTTGAGAGAGGAAAATGAGAAATCAAGTTGAACAGCAGTTCTTATTCAGAAAATATAGTGACCTTATTTGTGTCAAAGTTCCACACAGGGTAAGAGAGAGATTTTCTTTCTTTTTTTTTTTGAGAGAGATTTTCTTAACAACATTTTCATCTCAACGCCGGAAAGTTAGTACATTCAGTGTCAATATATGTAATGCTTTAGGTGTCATGCATAATATGATTGATCAAAAATAATTAACTGACTCTGAAACTGCTTTTTGATTTTCTAAGATTTATCAAGAACATGTTCCGTAACGTAGAACACAGTTATTACAGCACTTAAATCTCCTTGTAGTCAACCAACGTTGCTCAGCCTGCCCCACCACCAATCAGTATGTGGATCCTTACCACAGAAATGGAGTTTGAGAGCAGTGATCCCTCTGGTCCCAGCATATTGGAGACGGTGATTTCGGGGAGGTCCATGTTTTGTGGGAGAAACGGTAATAGGCCATTGTGGTTCGCCGGGTGGCACAGAGAGTGGTAGCCAGAGCCAACTTCATTCGTGTGCACCAGGGAGTGGTCAGGGAGGGAAGGAGGAGTAATGGGTGGGATGTTGAAGTCTTCGCTCTCCAGGCTTGGACCAGGGTAAGGCTGCAAAAGACAAGGAAGATATTGCTGCAAATTCCCGTTGCCATGTCTTTCATCATCCTGGGGAATACACACGAGCCCTTCAGACAGTGCCCTCAGCAGCATTAAAGACATTTCCAACATTCCTAGGATCCTGCTGAAGTTTCCCTCTGATACACATAAGCAAATGGCCTCAAAAGCATATCGGCTTTTTGTGTAAAGTGGGCGTCCATAAGACAGTTTTCTTTTTCCAAGAAGTTGAACTCAAATCAATCTCAAAGGTCTCTTAAAATTTTCCAGAGTTTTAATCTAATTGAATGGCTTCTCAATAGTAATTGTGGGCAAGAAGGCAATGTATAAAATTAATGTTCAATTAAATATCTTACAAAGACATTGCTCAGCTCATGGACTGTAATAAAATGCATTCCAGAAGCTCTAGGCAATGGCTTTTGACTTTTGAAAACTTAAACATTCATCTCTTTCAAATGAAAAATAATTCATAATAAAAGAAATTATATTGCATTGCTGCATAGTTTCACAGGAAGTATACTATATGAAAAAAAAGTCACAAAAAGTTATTTTTATCCCTAAGGCCATATCATCAAAATAAAAGTCTGGATTGTTTTCTTGATTTATGATTATTAACATTGCTATTTGATTTTCTCTTAATAGCTGAAAAGTAATATAGCAGTCATTTAAATTCAGTCTACTCAACTTTGAAAGGCAAAACAATAACAAAATTATCATAATAAGACTGATTCAGAAATAAAAGTGAAATCAGCAAAAACTCATTATTAATATATCTGGGCCTTTTTTTTCTTTTAGAAAGTAGTGTTAGATAAAATAAGAGGGGTAGGAAGGAATATTATATGAAGAATTTCCTGTTTAAAACAGGAATGGGGTAAACTTTGAGAAATATAAGGAAAAATGAATAATAAAACATTGCTATTCACTAATATCCATGGATAGTGATATTTAGCAGCTGCTTTTTGAGCACGTATCAAAATAGGAGAGGAACCAATTTTGGTCCAGATAATTCTTGCAAATGCATCTTTCAAATTAAAGCAGTTTTCACTGTGATTGGCTACACGGGTCACAAGGATCCCCTTGTCTAACTGCACAGTGCCTACTGAAGTGTGCAAGATTTGAAATAAGCAGAATAGGAGCCAAAAAAGGTAGTGTAAGGTATTCATTGGTATTTCAGCAAATTAGCTTCCTGCTTCAGCATCCGAGATACTGGTGGTATTATTTCCAGATGGTGTCTGTTTGTCTAACAAAAAGAAAATCTTCAAGTACTTGCTAAATGTTGAACAAATTTTATATGTTGTTTAAGAGCTGTCAGAAGACAAGATTAAATGAAGAGCTACTTTAAACATCTGGAATTTAGACCTGGTCATGTGAAGGCATGCGTGAGTTAAAGTTTGGGGATAAATGTAGCGAACGTTTGATTCCTCTCCAGAGAACTTTTCACCCCCCTATATATCTAAGTTCAACAAAAAAAAAAAAAAAATCTTTTACCAGTCCTAAAAATTCTATCATATATTATCAAATTTTCCTGTAGACTGTAACTATCTCTTAGTTATATAAGGACTCTGTTATAATTATAAGTTAGAGTAAATTCTCACTTTTCTAATTTATTTCAGATCTTTTCTTCAAATGATCTAAGCCAGTGTCTTCCAAAGTGGGAGATACTGTTCTCTGTGGTTCTCTATGGGCTGCAAAAGCAGCTATCTATTCTTTGTCCTGGATTATGGGCTATAGTACAAAAGGTATTAATAGCCAGAGGGATTCTGAGCAATTTTCTTTTTTTCTGCAAAGGGGGCAGTGGGGCAACTACATTTGGGAAACTATGGGTAAGCTAATGGAAAGTAGGAGGCAGGAGAAGAACTTTCATTCGTGTCTATTTTACATAAAGCTCAGTATTAATTCCTTTGCATATATTGTCTTTATTTAATCTTTATACTAATGATTTGTGTACCTATTACCACGTCTAAGTACCTGATGGGAACAATGAGGCTCAGAAGTTAGATTACTTGCCTAAAATCACCAAGCTGATGAACCATCAACTCAGCACATATGAGACATGAACATAAGAAAAATATTTTTATTGCTGTGATATGATCATAAGTAATTTGACTAGTATTATTTTTACTAGTCTGATGACACAAAATGATCCACAACCAGCTGCTTTTTAGCCACAGGATATTTTAAGGTTTTATCAAATAGTAAGTAGAAGATAGGGGGATGATTTACAATGTTCTCTATCATAAAATGAACTACTGCTAAAGTGAACCAGATCACATATAAACCTTAGATATATGAATGGATTTGGGCTCACACTTAATTCTAGCCCCACTCTCAGAATAATAGTTCTTAAGACATGGCCCTGCTTGATGTTCACCCTCATGAAGAGATCATGGAAGATATGGGTGCAAAGTGTGGTGAAGAAACCAGACGGTGGCCAGCTATCAGAAAGAATAGCATCTGGGATCTTAAAGACTTATTCTAAAACAAGCCATTTAAAACAAGCTTCCATCCACATGGAAGAAGTACACCAGTCTGTGTGATCCAAGAATTATTGGACATGATAAAATTCAAATCCAAAGGCAGGAATGTTATCAGAGCTTAAATTGAGAACATCCACCAATTTTTAGAAGGCAAAGCTGACAGTGGGAGCTTACACCCATTGAAGGGTCCCTACATGGATTGTTTCAGGTGCTTCCTCTCTGACCACAGTCAAAGGATGTGCCCAGGACTGCTATCAGAAAGAGAACATTGTGAAGTGCATCATGGGAGAGGTAGCCAGGTCAAACTACAGTACCTACCTAATCTTTTCACCCATTTTAAAGTTGTTTTGAGTTTTAATATTTTCTACGTTCTTTTTGATTGTTTTTCTATGTTTTGTCTAATCATTATTGTTAGTTTTATTCCTGTTTGTGTTTTGTATGATTTTCTGTGTATGAAATCCAAGCTAGATAGATCTACAGACAGAGTAACTGGAATGATACTTACCTTAGAACATGGTAGGAGGCAATGGGGGAAATCGAGAACTAACAACGAGTACGAGAAGAAAATGTTTTGAAATTGATTGTGGTGATGATCTAACAACTCTCCTTAGTATAAGTGAATGATTACATTGTATATGTGAACTACATGCCAATGAGACTATGTAAAAAAAATAAATAGGAGGATGTTTCCGTTCCTTCTTTCTCATAAACTTTTGATGTCTTTTCATATTAGTTTCACTGGGAAGTCTTTACCTGCACTGAGTTTTACCCCAATATCTATCCGACTAAAATCAAGTGTTTTTTAAAAACAGTTTTATTGGTACTTCATCCACATAGCATACAATTCAGTAGTCCAATCATATCAAGAAGAGCTGCACACCACTATCATAATCAAATTTAGAACATTTTCTTCTTCCTTGTACTCCTTGCTATTTGTGTAATTATTTGTTTCAATTGTGGAAAAATATACAGAACAAAACATTCTCCCATTCGACAACTTCTACATGTATAATTCAGTGCCATTTATTCTACTCTTCATGTTGTGTAACCTCTGATATCCCTCTCCAAACTGTTCCACCACCATTAAAATGAGCCCAATTGCCCCTATGGAAAAACTCTTCCTCCTTCAGCCAGGGTATCCACAAGTCAAGTTTAGTTCCTTTAAACTTTTTTTAGCAGTCTTCTTGATAGAATCTTCACATCATACAATCACATAGTTTAAAGTCAAATGTCTAACTATGTAAGCACTGCAGGTCATAATCTGTCAGCATTGCAAATGCAGAACTTACTGATATGTGAAAGTAAATTAGACAGTATTGCTGCAAAATCTTAGAAATTTTTATTAAACAAAAAGATAAAAATGAGATGCTTTTGTTTCTTGACTTCTCCTCTATCTAGTTGTATACATTTCTGAAGTCATTGTTTGCATCTCTAGAACCCGTCCTAGAAGCATTCTGCACCCTTTAATTTATACCCCCTCAAAATGGTATACCACCTCGAAGGGACTCAAATTGCGTTCCTTTTCACGGTTCTTTGTTTTCGCAACATTAAGGATGTGGGGTGGATGAGGTGAGGTCGCCCCATGCAATGTTTGTTGGACTATCTGCATATATGAAGAATGAGCAAGAGCACTGTCGTGATGGAAAAGAGAGAGAGAAGGTAAAAGAAACCTCTATCAATTTTCCTGGTCTTTTCCTTGCCAAGGAAATTTTCAATTTTCTTAAAACTTCTTTATACTGAGCCCTCGTGGTCATTCCTGTCTTTTGAGAAAATCTATCAAGATTACCCCTCTCAAGTCCCCCAAAACAATCATTATGACCTTGATAGAAAACTGGCCATTCTACCTTGAATTTAACTGGCCCAGCAGATGGCCTCAGTAGTGCCTGATCTGCCGGGATTTTTTTGACGGTACCAAACAAGTCTGAGATAAGTACATTGCTGAGAGACCTTGTCTGTAGCCATCTCTTGATTGCAGAAACATGTTTGAACTTATTTTGGCTGGATGTTTTCTTGAGGAAGGCACAAATCATATTCAAGGATGAGAGCAATATAATTTTAATTTTATGTCATTAAATACTCAAGGGTATTCTATCTGTGTTCTACTTAATATTCCAGAGTATTTTCAGTAGTTAAATCTTAAAATACGATGTTTTAAGCGAAAGTTTAATTAGTATCACTTTACATTCAGTGATAACAATTGCACTACAAATTAAGCTACAAGGTTTATTTTCATGTAATTACACATTATTGCTATTTAATAGATGCAATTATATACCAAACCACAGATCCCACAATTTACCCAGACAAAAAGTTATGTGGATCTAGAATTTTCACAAAATAAGGCTCTTGAGTAGCTTTCGTTCTTTACATTAGAGATCACATGATTATTTGCCACGAGTCTGCTCTACTGTAGTAATGCTATGTAACAGCATAGTACTGTGCGAAAGTCAACATGAACTGGAACTTACAAAAACTCCAATACAAAAACTCTTAATTATTCATTTTTGAAAATGTGGA